CCTGTCATTTCTTTGAAAACATGTCAAAACAGTAATGACAATAAGGCTACTCTTTACTTGAAGGTTGTATGATTTCAACAATTTTATTAGAATTCTCATGATTTTTCTTACAACAAAAGGAAGAGATAAATAAATGGTGCTAAAAACCTCTAAAAGTATGAAATGAACAAAGAGAAAAAATCAATTATAGCATTGATGTTTTAACTTAGGAGCAAATCACATGCATTCCCTCATTCAGGATCAGCATTTAACAAGCTGCATGGAAACTAGCATACTTGTTGTTAGCAACAACTTCATCAGTTTAAAATGTCATTGTACAAACTTTTTGTTTAACAACAACAACAACAATGGAGCAGCAGCAGCAGAAATAAACAAAGCCAGTTAGAACATGGATGGATGGATTTGATCAGGTCAAAACTGACTGCACTTTCAACCTTTGCCAAGCATAATAGAAAGAAGAAAGGCTTGTGTGCAAAATTTGGTGGACGAAAAACAGGGACTCATTCACCAAATCCATCAACCTTTAAACACAAGAGGGTGAGAAGCTCCATGCAAGCCCAAAGCTCCCCATCCACAAGAGGGCCAATGCTTAAACCACACCCAAAATCCTCTCATCCCATTGCAAACAAATCCCCAAAAGCTAGAGCCCCCGAAATCCCCTTTATTAACCCTTTTTTGTTGACCATAGATGCTTCGATACTAGTGGGTGGTGATGATAAGGAGTGGCTGACCATTTATCACACTAAAGTAACTAAGGCAAACATTCAAATCGCTCACATTGTGAGGATGGGCAAATGCAGAGGTCAAGTCGTTCAACAGACAGCTTGGTTTTCGCTATTGTTGAGTAGTCGTCGTCAAGGCACCTGCTCACATGCAAAGCTGATTCCAATGCATGGAGTAAATAATGCATTCTTTCTAAGAATGTTATTGGATATGGCCTTATCATCAACAACAGATATCGACTCAATTTGATAATAATAAAAGTTGGCAACGGCAATGAAGAAGATGAGGAAGAAGAAGAATCATGTGTGCCATGTGAAACATAATAAGTGATGCAAAGATGGGAAGGTTTTTGTGTTGCTTGCACTCTATTACATGAAGTCCTTCAATCAATCAATCAATCAATCAAATGGAGTTTCTTGACCATTCTTCAATAGTCGAGCTAAGATTTGGATTTGTTGATTGAAAGAAAGTAGAATACAAAAAGAAAGAGAAGCAAAGTATGGACCAAAGTATTGTTTTCAAAAGATTTTGAAGTATGGTAAATATACCCATTTAACACTCTAATTTTATTGTTTAATAAGAATGTCATATTAGATACATATTTACAAGCAAAATAAGTTATTGTAGTTTGTCTTAGCATTTGAGAGTTTATATTACTTAAATTTATCATTTTTGGTGCTTTTTTTCTGCTTCATTATTTGTTTAATATTTTCAAACTGTACTAAATAGAATTTTTAGGCTAAAACTATGTTTTGACTTATTTTTAAAACATAACATATTCATTATTTTGACACTAACCATATGTGATTTTAAAAAATAAGCATCCTTAATGTTGTTGTCTCTATTTAATTATGTAACATAAATGTATGAATTAAATTATCACAATATTTTTGTGAGTCAAATATATATTAACACAGTAACATGATAAGATATGTTATTGATGTGATAATTTGTGCACAATTTGTTTTTATAATATTAAATAGACATTAAAAGATTTTGAAATTAATACAATTAAAAAATATATTATGATTGATTCTTTTCTTGTGATTATCACACTGTATATATAAATACATACACACACACACACACACACACACATATATATATATATATATATATATATGGAAACTCTTTTTTTGGGAAATTAATCAAATAATTTTTATACACTTTTAATGAAAGTGTTTGTGTATAAGTATATTTTATTTATTTACTGAGATACATTTATTAAATCTTTAGAAACCAATTTTTAAAGGCCAATTTTTTTTTTCCAAGTCTGCTATCTCTTATGTTGGCAAAATTGAATTCAATATAAAAAATGAGACATTCTGGAAAATTTGTGATTCACATTTCGTTTTTTTTGTTTTTTTTAAATTATCAATTTTAGATAAATATAAGAATTTCAAACAAGACATCAATAGAGGTCCAATTGCCTGAAAAGAGATTACACCATATATATTCCAACACATTCTTCCATGTAATTGGACCCGTTCTCCTACTTCAACACATCCAACTAATTCCATCAATGCTTCTTTAAATGTTTAAGATTTCATGAATAAGAAATTTGTCATACTTGGCCACAAGAGTTCCAATTGATTCACACTAAGCTTACTATCTTAGTATAGAGAAATAATATTATACAATATCAAATCTAATTTGGTGAATGGTTTTTAAACTCCACCCATATCTAGGTTTATTTTAAGTTTTAATCTTCATTTATAATATTTCTTGAATTTTAAAATTTTCAACTGGAGTATTTTAAGACTTATCATCATTTTAATAATAATCAATAATATACTCATAATAATTGTTGATGTGCTTATAAATCTGATTGTTAGGTTTAATGTTACTATTATATATTGTATTGATGATTGTAATGATATTTTTTAAAAAACTAAATGAATTATTTAGGTTTCAAAAACAAGAATAAATAATTCTAAAATTAAAAAAGAATGCAGAATAAAATTATATAATTAATAACATCCAAATGACATTGTAAAATACTCTAAAGAAGTTTCACAAATATAACATTAAAAATAATTTAAAAAATAATTTTGTAAATAAATAAGTTTGATTTGAAATTACTAAATTAGTTACATTGCATGTAGAAATAATAAACATAAAAAAATATCTATGTGATGGATGAAAAAAGAAGGTGCCATAATGTTTTAGTATATCAAATAAATGTGTGTATATATATATATGCTTTTCATTAAATGCTTTATAATAATGCTTTTATAATATGATTTCTTATATACCAAATTAGAAGGATCCATTGGTTAATAACACTTATGAAAGTTTCATTAATACCAAATATGAAAGTGTTAATTTTTAATTTATATACTGTTATTTGGAAAATAATTAGAACGTCAATCTATATGTGTATGTATATATATATATATATATATATAATAGTGGATTTGAGTTATAGCTACTTTTTAAAACAGTTTTTTGAATTCAGCAACTTATTTCTTATTTTATTGTGAACAAAATCAGTTTTCATTCTCTTATAAAACTATGAGGAATCATAATACAAATTATATTTTTGTTTTTTTATAATACTATAACAAATAAAGATAACCTTGTAAATTTACTTCTCATTTTTAAAGTAAATAAATACTTAAATACGCTAAATATATGAAATGTTGATAGTTAATGAAACAATTTAACACTCGACTGATAACTGGGTATTATTTATTACTGATATTATTACCTCTTTTAAATAAGAAGGTTGTGAATTAACTTCAATTACAAAGACAAGTATATCAAATTTTAGTTGATAATCAAAAGTTACTCATCAAAATTATTAAAAAGGTTTTATTTGAGGGTATTGTTTATATTGGTGCAATATGTCCATCTTTTACACTTTACAAGTACGTATGATGAATGTACGTAAGCAAAGTCTACAATTCAAATATGTAAGAGTTTGAAACTACTTTATTATTCCGCTTATTTTATTTTCTTTGTACAGTCACTTTTTTCTAAAATGGACACTATTGATTTTATGTGGTGATTTTATATTTGTTAAATATAGATGGGTTTCTTGTCTATTGTCGAACTCAATATTGAACAGGACTATAAATTAGTTTTTGTTGGCTGACTTGAGAGTTTTGAATCTTTTTTTTTTTACCAAAGACATGATATTCAATCAACAACTCATTATTTACATTTCGATTCCAGTATCAAATACTGTATTAAAATACACAGAAAGAGAAAAATAAATAAATTGTACAAATATCATCTCTGAAGTATAAAATTCTTCTTCTTCTTATTCTTATTCTTCCCTTGTCTATTTTATTTATTTAATTTTCACGTCTTCCTTCTTTAAATTTGTTTTGGTGGAGGAGGTTGGTCGAAATCCTCCAAGAGTAATTGCAGCTGGATGCATGTACGCCATACAAAAACTCACTTAATTTCTATTTTAAAAAGATTTTTTCAAACAGTCAGTCAGTCAGTCAGTCAGTTCTATGGTTTTCATTTTCCCACTTTTTTGACCCAAATAGAATGTGCAGCTTCTAGAATGTCTACCCCCATCGCCATAAAACCAGAATATCTATAGATATATATATATATATATATGTATTTCACTTTATCTGCGACCAATCTGCACTCTAAAATCACGACACCGAATTGCCTCGTCGGCAGAAAATTCCAACTGGAGGATGGGTGCAGCCAATCATAACACCTCCATCACGCGAGTGCCAGCTGTGCCGATTCTTCGTCCAACTGGACCTCTCTCCAGTTTTTCGGTTGTTGGTTCAGGGTCGAGACTTCCACATCAGCAAATTGACGTGGCGTTCATATCGACGAAGCATCGATCCCGTTCGTGACCTGGATGGGGTGGGGTGGGAGACAGCGTCGCGAACGGGGCGACGCGGCCGATGAGCGCCTCATTCTCAACACTGAATTGGCGTCTCAGAACGCCACGAAATGCTTGGCTTCCACGGCCATCGCCGTGAAGAAAGAGGAAGCAGCGGGCGGTGAATTCCAACGCGGAAAGGGTGCGACGGATGATGGACAGGGAGGGAGTGGATGAAGCGTGTCGGGTCCGATCCGGGACGTAAGAAGGAGGCGGTGGTTGGGATGAAGCGTGAGTGACATCGGAGAGGGGAACCGGAATTGAAGCATTGGGCTGGTAGCGGTGCTGCGGTAGAAGAACCCAACGGGCTAAAACCACTCTACGACACTAGCAACAATGGGTGGGTCCCCAGCAGGCTCTGCCACCTCCACACCACAATGACCACAGCGCGGTGCGACCATCATCTCTGTAGATGCTTCCATTGCAATTTCTGTGCAGCATAAGTCGACGCCCTTGACTCAGTCCCCTTCTTCTCTACAATCTTAACCACCTCCACACCACATGTGCTTCATTTCTTTCTCCAATCCAACCGTCTCTCTAGGCAAAGCAAATACCATCGTACCGCAGAGGCCATCGGTTCCCCTAGCGCCGTGCGCTGGTTTGATTCCTCTGCCGACGCAGGCATCTTGGTTGCTGGTGGTGGTGGTGGTGGTGTCCGAACCGGTGTGTGGAACTGTTGGGTGCGGACCCAGGTCATCTCCTCCTTCTCCGCTCCTTCATACTCGCAGTCTGCTTAGTATATGCTCAATCCCATCCCATCCTATCCTATCCCATCCTTCGCCATGTGAATGTCTCCGTGTGTGACCTCAGTTGCACGAGCTTCGGGTTGAGTGGCTGATCAAGGGTTGTTGGAGGTAGGAGCTGTACGATCTCGCCTTGTTGGTGCCCGTGCTGCAGAAAGGGCCCAGTCGCGCTTGTTATTTGTTGGAGTTTGGTTTGTCAACTGTGAGTTAGCGTTGAGCGTTTTTAAGGAGGGACTGCCTGCGTCATCGATCGTGGCTTGTGTCTTTGGTTGGCTGTTGGGGGGTTGGTTGTGGGAGTTTGGATGCGCCTGATTTCGTTACAGGCTATGCGTGCTCTCAGGTCTTGTGTGGTAGCCTCTTTCGCTCTGTGTGTGGGTGTCGATACTCCTGCCTCCACCGGCGCCGCGTTTGCATTTAGACTCAATGCGCGGGATACTTGTGGCATTTGCTGCTGGATTATCGCGCTGCACCTGCTGATGTTTCTCCCGATTGCATTTCGAATAGGGCAGTATGTCGGTGACATAGGATGTATCGTACCTTTTGGGTTAATGGTTGGTCTTCGCATTCCATTTATGCTCCCGCAATCTGACTAGCAACGCGCTTTGCTCGCTCAGTGGGGACCTCTGCCTTTGCGCGTTTGTTACGTGTCGGTGACGACACGTGTATAAACAGTGAAGCATCGATCATTCCTGATCTCTGCTTATGTAGTCTTTCGATTTCATCAGAGGTTGGCTGGTGCCAAGTGATATCTTATGCGGTGCGTGAAGGGTGGTAGCAAAAGTTAGGTTTGCGCTGTGAAGACGTCGAGGATATCTTATCGCGTCTTATCTGATTGCTAATTGCCTCTTCCGACGTGCAGATTTCGACGTGGGTGCCTCACATCGCCCGTGCGTGGTGCCCCATATGACTCTGTATACTCGTGTTAGCTGCTGAGCTCTGTTGGGGCGTACGACACATCTATATACTCAAAACTTTACTGATCTCTAGATTGGAGAGAACTTCTGGGCGGTTGTGGTCATATCAAAGGTGGGTTGCCTTGTTCCTCCCCCCCCCCGGCACGAATTAGAAACTCTTTGTGATTGTTTGTAGGTCAAGAAGTCAGAATGGATATGACTCGACTCCACAAAGCTTTTTGTTGAGCTTTTACGGTCGCCCTAATTACAGTGCTATCAAACTGAATTCTTTTGCTTTTCAGGAATATATGTTTGTGGGGACTAAGTATGTTTTGATTTATTGTTTTTATTTTTTATTTTTGTTTTGGCCTTTCTCTGTTTTGCAGCTCGCACGTATTTGCTCCGAGCGGGAGGGTTTCTGCGGGGACAGTTCATGAATTTGACAATATCAAGCATCCTTGAGCACGGGAAGCCAAAGTCGAAGACTTGGTGGGATTCCTGCGGGGGCAGCAACAAAGGTAGAGAACAGGGGTTGCTTCTACCGAGCAAAATAGACTCTTCAAGAGTCAAGAAGGAAATTGAAGAGTGCAAGTCTGAGTCCAGTCAGGAAGGGGAGAGGAAAGGAATGCGGTTAGCTGCGAAGGACAATAGCGGTAGGAATGCTTCTAGATTTCGGAACATTGATTTGAATAAGATGCCATCGGCATGGGACACAGACGACGCCAGTGTTGGCACTGGCGATACGACTGCCTTCAGAGGAGTTCGTCACCGGCCTGAATTGAACAAGTGGGTGACGGAAATTCGACCCACATCGCAGAAGCGCAAGATCTGGCTGGGTACGTATGAAACCCCGGAAGAGGCAGCGCGTGCGTACGACGTGGGCATCTTCTACACGAAGAAAAAAATCCCTTACAATTTTGAGGACTCGCCGCAGCAGCTCCAGCTGCACCCAATCCCCCCGGAGCTACCATGGGAGAGCTTCGCCGCCCTTGTGAAGCAGAGGGCCACTTCTGCTGCCAAGCGTGCGAGAGTGCCGTCTTCCAGCTAGAGGCAGAGGAAGGCAGACTGATACATTTAGCGGCCATCGGTTTTAGGTTGAATCGGCCAGTGCAAAGCAAATAGTCTGGTCGGCTGAGAATCATCACTGTCATCGTCATCGGATTCTGAGGCACCAATCTATGTGGGCCATGATGTTCATGTTGTTCGAATGAGTTGCTTGAAGATACGGTTTCCAACCACTTGACCATGAAGCGAAGCCCACATGGGGGCAGTGAAATGGAGTTCATGATAGCTCGTAGGTGGTTTTGTTCAGAACAATAATGCCATCTCTCATGGCGTCAATGGCCACCATGGAGAGAGAGATGCCGTGTGTGCAAGGTGCGCATACGACGGAAAGAAGAAAAGAGGAAGAGAATTGCTGTTTCGTGATTATCGGACTCCGTGCTCTTGATCTTGTCCACGTCGTGCTAAGTGTCTCGATATTCCTTCATGCTGAACTATGCCGAAAGCCTCGTTGCCACAATTTTTATGTTAGGAGAGAGGGAGAGAAATCAAGCAGATCGAAAGCGGTCACTTGGACTAAACTATGTCCTGTCGCCAAGTCCTCGACTGAGGAACGTGTATAGTAGGTATGATGAGGTGGGATGAATCGCTTGTAGCCGGTCTTTCTGTCTCCCTTTTATTTTGTTATGGATTTATTTTATGAACCATCTCGGTTACCCGCCAGTACAGAAACTGGCAGTTATGATAATGTTTCATCCTACCGAAGTCCTTTGCACCTGGTTGCATAGCTTCATCAAGGGCTTTTCCGTTGCGTCTTAAAAATCTTGCATCGGCAGCTAGAGTCTAGGTTTTTGTCAACAACTCTCGGAGAAATGAGAAACCATTCCATTTATGTTCAATGAATTCTTCTTTATTAATACATATGTATACATGGTGACAAAAAATAGTATATACCCCACCGACATACAAATGACTTTGCCTCTGGCTATGCTCCTCTAAAAAAAGAAATTCGCATGTTTTAGAAATGAAACTGTAAGTGTTGAAATTACGCACCGCCTAGAGCAACACTTCTTCGTTCACACAATTGTAACATGCAAGGAAATCGAGTCCAAGAAAAATTGACGTCGGTGGAAAGGTTGTTGCACCAACAATTGGCTTACTGTCCGAATCTGGTGAATTTGTAGCTATGTATGCTTGCGTGTTTATGCTTTTAATTTCGATAGAGAGATAAATAGAAAATGGCACAAAAAAGCAATGATTGGTCATAGTTTCGTAAAACGGATATGGATGTTTATTGCCGTACATGTTGATGGAGCTATCCAAAAGTAACAGTGACCATTAAGCTAAGACTTTGAAGGACAACATGGAATTTTCTGAGAGTTCTCATCCTTTAATATAATTAGTTACTGTAACCGCGAATCATGAATAGTCTTCCTTTGAACAAACAATATCCTCGGGCTAAATATGAAACATCAACGATCCAAACTTACATTGCAGCCAAAACGTCTGAGAAAGAGGGGTAAAACAAGAAAGAAAGAGCAGTCCAGTGAAAAAAACTAGGACAAAAATAGCGAGATGTACCACTGACACCCTGACTAGCGCATGAAATATAACCGATAGTACTGATTAGCAAACGAGGGGTGAGATATTTCGATCCAGCGCCACTTGTCCCTGGCTCCGACGTGCAAATTTCTGCGTCGTAAGTAGCAGGCATTGTACCGAGCGGAGTCAGTTGATGGTCTTCTTCCTCCAGACTGTGTGTGTCAGCCCCCTCCTCCCGGAGATTCAGCTGGCGGCATTACGCTCGCGGCAGACTGAGCACAAACGATCCACGGGAAACGAGCCTCGGTAAATCCGCGCAGTAATTCCCCGTAGAAAAAAGCTTGTTCACGAAAGAGTACCGGAGGTGTTGCAAGGCCTGAGTGGTCTCTCGAGATCTGTGTCTACCCCTTTGCAGAAATTCCAATATTGATTTGTTTTTACAAATAAAAATGAGAAGGTCCATCATTCGCTGTACCTACCGACGTTGCTGTGTCCCCGTTGGTTACTTTGGCATGTCCGATGAATTCTGACACCATTCGGGAATCAATCAATCCACGCGTCCGGGCTGGGCTTGAAGTCGGTGACGGCATCGCATCTGATAAACTTATTGGTGGGTCTGCTGCGCGTGCACGACATGGCGGAGGTATCCTTTTCCAATCTGACGATGTGTGCGTTGTCATGTGAACCGGTGCCAGTTGTATGTACTTCGACCTCACTGGTTAAATCGGGACGCCGGAAACTTGCGGAGCATGACCCCCTCCGAGGTAGAAATCCAATCTCCGTCCGACCAATTCTGTCTCGGTTACCGCCTGTCGTAAAGTAGCAGAATTTTCTGAAGTTGAATCCGAAGTTCCTCTTCCCCGAGTCTATCAAACATTACATTACCCAGCGGAGTCGATTACTCGCAACTACCTTAAATGTATTTTTTTTCCCGTTTTTATTTTTAAAAATATTTCCCTTTCCATTCGTTTGAGGCTTTCCGGCGATGATTAGAGTAAAAGCTTAGTGAATTCTCAACCGCAGCGAGCAGATTATCTTGGTGAGGGGGCTCTTCCAGCTCATTGAACTGACCGTTTGAAGACCCAGGCAAGAAAGACCAGAAAAGTGGATCCACTGCTGTTTCACAACCACTCAGGGGCAGCGGGATCTATGTACGCATTCATCCTGTTCCGAATCGGAAATGACTGGATTCTTAATTTGAGCCAGAATCTGCGATTTGCAAGGGCCGGACATGGCCAAAACAGAAAGATGAGGGGACTGGAGATTCATACTATTCTGGGTGAAGTTGTTTCGCGCATGGCAATCTTCGTCGGCAAGTGCATGTGCTCAGGAAGATGCACGTCGAAATTCAAACTTGCGGACTTTCGAAATTTGTTTGTGTGGGTGTCAGGTGGAACGCTTTCCGATCAGGCACGGAACTGCGTACCAGATTTCCTCACACATCAGTAGAAACCATCCAATATGTCCCGCACCTGCTGGAGCGGATTGTAGGGATCAAGAGTACGTGTGGCGTTGAATCAGTCCAGCAGACGTTCGAAAAGATGATGAGACGTGCATACGTACAGAGATGGTTTGATGCGTACATCTCGTGTTGATCGGCACCACCCCGATCTGCCACCAGATGACTTTTTCCCAAGCGGGCAGGCAAAAGTTTATACTCGCTGATCCGGTACAAAACCCCCCATCAACGAAATCGAGAGCCTCTGCGGGATACAGCAAAGTCGGCCAGCGCCTCTGCAGTTCCTTTCTTTCTTTCTTTCTTTATTTATTCATTTTCTATTTTCCTTCGTTGCTGTAGCTGTGTGAGCAACAGTTGTACGTTTGGGGTTTTGTCTCTGCATTGATGAAGCAGAATCATGAATGTTTTAGCGTTTCTCAATCAATTCGGGTACTTTCGGTATACTTTCAGTCTACTTTCGGTTTACTATTGGAGATCACGTGGACACTTCAGAGACGAAGACAACCTGATTCATGCGTTAGAAACTCGCGGTGATTCACCACTATAATAGTAACAAAATCAGAAGCCATGTCCAGGCATTTTTTCGAAAACCTATCGCGTCCAAGTAAATTCAGCAATGAAATTTCTGCAACTCTCACATACCTGCAAGGTAACTACAGAAGGCTTTTGCAGAGCTGCAAGCATGTCGGTGAGTAAAGTAAATACATCTGCTTGGATAATTCAAAAATCGAGCAGTCAAATTTTTACCACCGACATGCCCGTCCATTACTATCTGAGTTTTTTTTTTTTTTTTTTCTTTTTCTTTTTCTTTTTCTTTTCTTTTAAAAAATAATTATTTACGATGTCAGGGCACCTCCAGTCCGTGCAGACTGGTACGTACCGCAGTGGGTTTCTCCCACTCTGAATTCGAGATGTGACCATGGTACCGGCCTGCAATGACCTCTTCTAAGGCCCCGATCTCAGTGGCTAGGGTACCAAATTATAAATAACAAACTTACCCATTATGGGAATTGCGACGTGCACAACAATAAATTCAGCGCCAGTACCCACGTGGGGTTTCAGAGATTTGTGTGTCTTTCAAGCGCTCGGAAAACTCCACCCCTCTGACGCTTGCTTCCCGTTTCCGTCCTCTGGGAGAGTGAGATTGGGTCGTCTTTCAGGTGAGGAAATTGGAGCCAGTTTCAGAATATTAGTTGCCTGATGCGAATTTTTGAAGAGTTTATGCAGAAGAAAATCCCTAAATTGACAGCGACTGAGTGAGAGAGAGAGAGAGAAAGAAAATAACAATAATAATAATAATAAATAAATAAATAAAACTACCAACGCACTTTACTCGTTTAGCGTCAGAGCGAATTCTCTCCAATCGTTCGCAAAAATGAATTGTCACCTTCGCCAAGCTGGCCCGCTGACAGTCGAAGGGCACGAAGTCATGCACCATGGCAGCCAAAACGTAAACTTCGATAACGCAGCTTCGTCGGCTTCCTCTCATACTTAGCCACCAAGTCGCACAAGCGCATACTGAAAGGCAGTTGAGGGAAGTGAGGATGAAAGCTGTCCGAAGTCAAGACCGTAGTATCGCTCTTGCATGCTACCTGCGCTTTGGAAACTGACGCTACAACGCACGACCCTATTCGCTTTTCCTCAAATGGCCACCACAAGCACGCTTAGGCAACCGCTTGTCGAGTACTGGCGTGCTTCGACTTGCTAATGAAATCTGGATCTCAAACTGCAGGGAGTTGGGCTTTGTGCCACCCGATTCAAAGCTTCTTGTTGAGCTTTTGGCGAAAAGAATCCATGTCTTGTCTTCGTAAGTTCTCACACAGTTTTGGAACTGGGTTGGAGTGCATCTGCTGGCGCAATTGTGTGCGATGAGAAACAGCCCCAGTAACAGCCAAAGTGAGGAAGCATTCGGCACTCAAAGCTATGATTCAAATGCTACACTAACCTTGCGACAAAGGCGCTGCTGCCTGTGAGATTCCGACATCGTACCAGTCGATTTTATTTTCTTTTTGATTTGTGTGTGGATCAGGATGAATCCATGGATACATTCGAGGTATGCTTTGCTCCTTTTGCACCCCATTTAGTTCCTCTCATTCTCTTGAGCAAAGCTGCAACATCGACATCAGAACCCAACAACAACAACAAAGAAGGGGATGAAGAAGACGACGCCAGAATGTGTGTACAATGATCTTCATACCAGATGTGAAGTTCTGCGACCATGATGGTGAGTTTTGTCTGTATTTTTTTTTTTTTTTTTTTTTTTTTTTCAGCTTCGCTTTTCAATTATATCATCGGGTATGTCTACATTTTCTGTTTGTTTGTAATATGTGGGACCTCATGTTGTGGGAAAAGCAAAAAAATAGAAATCACTGCATTTCCTTATTAATAGGTCTTTCATGTGACTTAGCAAAATGTATCTTCTGTATTCATGTTCTATTAAACGTTTGAGAAACTTGGCCAATTTGATTGGCATATGATTATATTGTGAGATTGTGTATTTTGTTTTAGAATCTAGAGTTGCTTATTGCATAGCAGTGATTTTTTTTTTTTTTTTTTTTTTTTTTAAATTAAATTTTTTTTTATCCTCAATTGTTTTAAGAAAAAAGAAACTATATTGTTGTGTTTGATTCAAATGATTCTAAAGTAAATTTTGTACATTTGATCATAATTAGAGAAAATGCAATCCTTTATATTAATTTTTTTATAGAATAAAAATCTAAAATTGATCAAAGATCTAAATACAAGTCCTTGATTATATGTTTGACAAAGTTTAAAAGATAATGTACTAATGTATCATTAAAAGTTTATTTATATGTTTGTATCTAGACAAAGTTTAAAAGATAATGTACTAATGTATCATTGAAGGAGAAAAAAATAATATCTATATATATATATATATATA